GAGCAGGCAGAAGGGCTCAAAGGGCGCTGTCACCAAGCCAGAGGGTGTGGGAGGCCTGTCCTGCCCTGTCCAGGTGCCGTTCCCCAGGCCCCTGCTGCAGCCGTGCTCCCGCAGACAGACCGGGCGCTGGCGGTCCCTGGCATGGCCCCTCTCCACCCGAGCCTTCGCACACCCCGTTCCTCACCCACACGCTCTGCCACCCTCCTCCCTCTGTACCAAGACACGCTCCTCGTTTGGCAGACGGAGATGCCCCTCCCCCAGGGTCCACCACCCCGTTCTTCCCCGGGTCCACCATCCCGTTCTTCCCCGGGGTCCACCACCCTGTTCTTCCCCGGGTCCACCATCCCGTTCTTCCCCGGGCTGAGCGAGGCGTCTTGTCACCGTGTAGATGGGAGCTGTCCCCGTGAAGCTCAGTGACCCAGTGCAAGGTCTGGAGGATAAGTCACTGGACTGTGACAGTCTCCGCCCCACAGTGGTTAGCCCCTGAGGGCATTAGCTGGCTGGTCACTGGAGGGCGGGGTGGGGCTGGAGGAGGAGGGAGTTGGGGGCCCTGGCGAGTGGAGTCTCCGCTTCCCTCGGCCTCCTCCCCCACCATGCCGTCCTGCCTCACCTCGGGCCCCGGGCATGGGCCGGCCTTCTGTGGACTGAGACCTCTGAAACCCTGAGCCCCTAATTGAACCCTTCCTCCCTGCAGTGGGCTTGGTCGGTCGTTCAGATCACAGCGGTAAGGAAGCTGACTTTGACACTGTCTTTGCCCCCTTGGGCCTCTGCATGTCCCCACTAGGGCACAAGCTCACCCGGGTGCTCACTGCCACCCGCCAGCCGTCTTCCCCGGGACCCTCCACAGCTGTGCACCCAGGGCTGCATCCAGCAGGTAGTCAGTAGGTGCACGCTGAGGGGGTCCCGCCCAAGCCCTGCACAGGACAGGCGGAGTCCCAGCTGCACAGCTGAGATCCCTGCCAGGGACGCAGGCACCCCCAGACAGAAGCAGGACGGGGACAGGGTGAGGGGCGAGGCCAGTCACCCTGGGCCCACAGGGAGGTCATTGTAGGGCCAGTGTGGGGCGCCGCGGGAGAGGGCTCTGGTGGGCACAGGCGCTGGCGCTGCGGGAGGAACCGTCTAGGTTCTCCCAGCTCTTCCTCTGGGGACCCAGGCTGGCCACGCGCTTGGCCTGGTCCTGCCCGGGCCAGGTGGGGGTTGGACGGCAGGCTCCCTGCCTGCTCTGGCGCAGACAGCCAGGTCCAGAGCGGCCAGCGAGGGCCGCTGTCCCTCCCACACGCAGTCGCACCCCGGTCCGGGCTGCTCTGCCATTTCCTTTCATTGCTCCGCCAAAGGGGCTATTTTGGAAACTGCTCGGAGCAAACCAGGCCTGGCTGGCACTTGAGAGGAGAAAAAAGAGCATAAGTGAGGGACACAGGAGCCACCCAGCCCCGGAGCCACGGCACTAAATTTAGAAGCGTCACCTCTCAGGGAGGGAAATTGCAGGTTGCCTGTGGGGTGGGCGGCGGGGACAGGCGCGGTCAGCACTGAGCGGCTCAGATTCCGTGGAAGTGGGTCCTGCTTCCTGCTGCCACACCTTGGGGCAGAGGCCCGGGACGGTCCCAGGGCCCGGGGAGCAGCCGCCCAGTGAGACGCCCTCCAGCTGGCCTACCTTGTCC